ATTATTATTTAGTTAAAAATCATTCCTAAAATAATTTTGTTAGAAAAATTCTCGAAAATAAAAACTAATTTTAAAAATTAAAAAAAAATTATTAGTTAAAAATCATTCCTAAAATAATTTTGTTAGAAAATTTTGGAAAATAAAAAACTAATTTTAAAAATTATTTAAAAAAAAATTATTATTTAGTTTAAAAATTATTTCTAAAATAATTTTGTTAGAAAAATTTCGAAAAATAAAAACTAATTTTAAAAATTATTTAAAAAAAATTATATTCAGTTAAAAATCATTCTTAAAATAATTTGTTAGAAAAATTTCGAAAAATAAAAACTAATTTTAAAAATTATTTAAAAAAATTTTATTTAGTTAAAAATCATTCCTAAAATAATTTTGTTAGAAAATTTCGAAAAATAAAAACTAATTTTAAAAATTATTTCAAAAAAAATTATTATTCAGTAAAAATCATTCCTAAAATAATTTTGTTAGAGAAATTCAAGAAACGAAAACAACTAATTTTTGAAATTAGTAAAAAATTTAAGTGCTGAAATAGCCATTCCTAAAATAATTTTGTTTAGAAAATTCGGAATAATAAACTAATTTAAAAAATTATTTAAAAAAATTATTATTCAGTTAAAAATTATTCTATATCCTAAAATAATTTTATTAGCAAATTCGACAAATAAAATTAATTTTAAAAATAAAAAAAATTTTGTAGTTAAAAAAATCATTCCTAAAATAATTTTGTTAGAAAATTTCGAAAAATAAAAACTAATTTTAAAAATTATTTAAAAAAAATTATTATTCAGTTAAAAATCATTCCTAAAATAATTTTGTTAGAAAAATTTCGAATAATAAAACTAATTTAAAAATTAAAAAAAATTATTTAGTTAAAAATCGTTCTTAAATAATTTTGTTAGAGAAATTTCAAGAAACAAAAACTAATTTTTGAAATTAAGTAAAAAAATTATAAGTGGCTGAAATAGTCATTCCTAAAATAATTTTATTAGAAAAATTTCGAAAAATAAAAATTAATTTTAAAAATTAAAAAAAATTTTTTAGTTAAAAAAATCATTCCTAAAATAATTTGTTAGAAAAATTTCGAAAAATAAAAACTAATTTTAAAAATTATTTAAAAAAAATTATTATTCAGTTAAAAATCATTCCTAAAATAATTTTGTTAGAAAAATTTCGAATAATAAAACTAATTTAAAAATTAAAAAAAATTATTTAGTTAAAAATCGTTCTTAAAATAATTTTGTTAGAGAAATTTCAAGAAACAAAAACTAATTTTTGAAATTAAGTAAAAAAATTATAAGTGGCTGAAATAGTCATTCCTAAAATAATTTTATTAGAAAAATTTCGAAAAATAAAAATTAATTTTAAAATTAAAAAAAATTTTTTAGTTAAAAAAATCATTCCTAAAATAATTTTGTTAGAAAAATTTCGAAAAATAAAAACTAATTTTAAAAATTATTTAAAAAAAATTATTATTCAGTTAAAAATCATTCCTAAAATAATTTTGTTAGAAAAATTTCGAATAATAAAACTAATTTTAAAAATTAAAAAAAATTATTTAGTTAAAAATCGTTCTTAAAATAATTTTGTTAGAGAAATTTCAAGAAACAAAAACTAATTTTTGAAATTAAGTAAAAAAATTATAAGTGGCTGAAATAGTCATTCCTAAAATAATTTTGTTAGAAAAATTTCGAAAAATAAAACTAATTTTAAAAATTATTTAAAAAAAAATTATTATTTAGTTAAAAATTATTCCTAAAATAATTTTGTTAGAGAAATTTCAAGAAACAAAAACTAATTTTTGAAATTAAGTAAAAAAATATAAGTGGCTGAAATAGTCATTCCTAAAATAATTTTGTTAGAAAAATTTCGAAAAATAAAAACTAATTTTAAAAATTATTTAAAAAAAAATTATTATTCAGTTAAAAATCATTCCTAAAATAATTTTGTTAGAGAAATTTCAAGAAACAAAAACTAATTTTTGAAATTAAGTAAAAAAATTATAAGTGGCTGAAATAGTCATTTCTAAAATAATTTTGTTAGAAAAATTTCGAAAAATAAAAATTAATTTTAAAATAAAAAAAATTTTTTAGTTAAAAAAATCATTCCTAAAATAATTTTGTTAGAAAATTTCGAAAAATAAAAACTAATTTTAAAAATTATTTAAAAAAATTATTATTCAGTTAAAAATCATTCCTAAAATAATTTTGTTAGAAAAATTTCGAATAATAAAACTAATTTTAAAATTAAAAAAAAATTATTTAGTTAAAAATCGTTCTTAAATAATTTTGTTAGAGAAATTTCAAGAAACAAAAACTAATTTTTGAAATTAAGTAAAAAAATTATAAGTGGCTGAAATAGTCATTCCTAAAATAATTTTATTAGAAAAATTTCGAAAAATAAAAATTAATTTTGAAAATTAAAAAAATTTTTTAGTTAAAAAAATCATTCCTAAAATAATTTTGTTAGAAAAATTTCGAAAAATAAAAACTAATTTTAAAAATTATTTAAAAAAATATTATTCAGTTAAAAATCATTCCTAAAATAATTTTGTTAGAAAAAATTTCGAATAATAAAACTAATTTAAAAATTAAAAAAAATTATTTAGTTAAAAATCGTTCTTAAAATAATTTTGTTAGAGAAATTTCAAGAAACAAAAACTAATTTTTGAAATTAAGTAAAAAAAATTATAAGTGGCTGAAATAGTCATTCCTAAAATAATTTTGTTAGAAAAATTTCGAAAAATAAAAAACTAATTTTAAAAATTATTTAAAAAAAAATTATTATTTAGTTAAAAATTATTCCTAAAATAATTTTGTTAGAGAAGAAATTTCAAGAAACAAAACTAATTTTTGAAATTAAGTAAAAAATTATAAGTGGCTGAAATAGTCATTCCTAAAATAATTTTGTTAGAAAAATTTCGAAAAATAAAAACTAATTTTAAAAATTATTTAAAAAAAATTATTATTCAGTTAAAAATCATTCCTAAAATAATTTTGTTAGAGAAATTTCAAGAAACAAAAACTAATTTTGAAATTAAGTAAAAAAATTATAAGTGGCTGAAATAGTCATTTCTAAAATAATTTTGTTAGAAAAATTTCGAAAATAAAAACTAATTTTAAAAATTATTTAAAAAAAAAATATATCAGTTAAAATCATTCCTAAAATAATTTTGTTAGAGAAATTTCAAGAAACAAAAACTAATTTTTGAAATTAAGAAAAAATTATAAGTGGCTGAAATAGTCATTATTTAAATAATTTTGTTAAAGAAATTTCGAAAATAAAAACTAATTTTAAAAATTATTTAAAAAAAACTATTATTTAATCAAAAAATATTCTTAAAATAATTTTGTTAGAGAAATTTTGAAAATAAAAACTAATTTTAAAAACTATTAAAAATTATAAGGCTAAATAGTTACTACTTAAATACCTTCATTAGATAAATTTCGAGAAATAAAAATTATTTATTAAAAATTTCCTTAACAAAATTATTTTAATAAAAAATAAGGACGTGTAAAATTTAAAAAAGTAGAAAAAAAATTATTTATCAAAAATTTATATAAAAAATTATTTGAATAAAAAATAAGGACGTACAAAATTTAAAAAATTAGTAAAAAATTATTTATCGAAAATTTATATAAAAAATTATTTGAATAAAAAATAAGGACGTATAAAATTTAAAAAAGTAGTAAAAAATTATTTATCAAAAATTTATATAAAAAATTATTTGAATAAAAAATAAGGACGTGTAAATTTAAAAAATTAGTAAAAAATTATTTATCGAAATTTATATAAAAAATTATTTGAATAAAAAAATAAGGACGTCTAACACTTTAAAAAGTAGTAAAAATTAGTTATCAAAAATTATATAAAAAATTATTTGAACTAAAAATAAGGACGTGTAAAATTAAAAAAGTAGAAGAAAAAAAATTATTTATCAAACTTTATATAAAAAATTATTTGAATAAAAATAAGGACGTACAAATTTAAAACTTAGTAAAAAATTATTTATGAAAATTTATATAAAAAATTATTTGATAAAAAATAAGGACGTACAAAATTAAAAAAGTAGTAAAAAATTTATTTATCGAAAATTTATATAAAAAATTTTTGAATGAAAAAATAAGGACCGTACAAATTAAAAAATTAGTAAAATTATTATCGAAAATTTATATAAAAATTATTTGAATAAAAATAAGGACGTACAAAATTTAAGAAAGTTTAGTAAAAAATGATTTATCGAAAATTTATCTAAAAAATTATTTGAATAAAAAATAAGGACGTGTAAAATTTAAAAAGGTAGAAAAAATTTTTATCGAAAATTTATATAAAAAATTATTTGAATAAAAATAGGACGTACAAAAATTTAAAAAGTAGTAAAAAATTATTTATCGAAAATTTATATAAAAAATTATTTGAATAAAAAATAAGGACATATAGAATTTAAAAAGTAAAAAAAATTATTTATCTAAAATTTATAAAAATTTATTTGAATAAAAAATAAGAACGTAAAAAATTTAAAAAATATATTTACTTGTTATTTTTAAAATTTTTAGTGTCCTTATTTTTATTAAAAAGTGAATGGGAGGAATTTACTAATAAATAAGTCAATAGAAAATTTTATTTCTTTTTTATACTTTCAAAGTATATACTTATACAAGTTCATAGACTAATTAAAAAGATTATTTTATCTCAAACTTTGTTATAATAGGATTAATCAAATAATAAAAAAAGTATAAAATAGTTAGTAACTGGCCTGTAAGAATATAGGGGTCTTCTACAGGGCGTGCTCCAATTCAAGTTAGTAAGATAACAATAGTGATATTGATCAAAATAAAGTTTATTAATAGGGTAAAATTGGGTTCTTGAGAATTTTTTTTTATTAGTAAAGGGGATAATGTATAGAATAGCAATTGATATTACTAAAGCGATTACGCCTCCTAATTTATCGGGATTGAACGAAGGATCGCATAGGCAAATAAAAAATATCACTCTGGTTGGATATGAACAGGGGTTACTAGCGGATTAGCTGGAATAAAGTTGTCTGGATCTCCTAATATATATGGTGTGTTTAATGTTAAAAATACTAAAAAAAAAGTTATAACTAGTATTCCTATAATATCTTAAAAGTAAAATAAGGGTGGAATGGGATTTTATCAATATTACTTTTTGTTCCAGAGGATTGTTGGACCCTGTTTGGTGCAGAAAAAGTAAGTGTATAATCACTAAAGCAGAAACGATAAAAGGGAGGAGAAAGTGAAACCTAAAAAATCGAGTTAATGTTGCATTATCAACAGCGAAGCCTCCTCAAATTCATTGAACAATAAGAGTTCCTAAATAAGGAATGGCTGAAAGTAAAATTGGTAATAACTGTAGCTCCTCAAAAGATATTTGCCCTCAGGGGAGAACGTAACCTAAGAATGCTGTTGCTATAACTATAAAAAAAATAGTAACTCCAATTATTCAAGTTTCTAATAGGTAATAAGATCTAATAGATTCCTCGACCAATATGAATATATAAACAAATAAAAAAAAAAGATGCCCCGTTAGCGTGGAGAGTTCGGATTAATCACCGTAATTTACATTACGACAAATATGAGCCACCCTATTAAATGCTATATCTACATTAGGGCAGTAATGTATGGCTAGAATAATCCAGTAATAATTTGAATTATTAGGCATAATCCTAAAAGGGATCCAAAATTTCATATAGTAGTAATATTAGAGGGGTTGGTAGATCAATTAAAGAATTATTTTAAAATTTTAATAATGGGTGAGTTTTACGTAAATTTATTTTCATTAGTATATTTGTCGTAAGGGTCCTTTGTTTATTTAGTAATTTGACTGTTATAAATTAATGTAATTAATAAATAAATAATTATTATATATATAACTATATTATTTGGGTAATTAAAATATTTATTTAAAGTTAAATAATTATTGATGAAAAATTGTGATTATAAAAAATCTATGTTGAGAAAGGTAGGCTAAATAAAAATTGATCTGTAACTTGAAAGACAAAATTTAAAGTTAAACTAATAAAGAATACTAATAATAATAATCTGGATAATTTGAATTTTTTATTGGAGGCGATCCTTGTTATATAGATAAATAAAATAAGTATACCTCCAATTATGATTAAAAAAATAATATAGGAAAATCAAAAATTATAATTTATTAATCCGGTTAATAAGGTTACTAAAATAGTTTGAAGTAGGAGGATAATGCCTATAGAAAGAGGGTGTTTTATAAATATAAATATAATTGTTATAGTCTTATAAAATAATTAATATTGATATAATTTCAAGAAATAGTTTAATTAAAATTTTAATTTTGGAGATTAAAGATAGGGGAGTACTCTTTTCTTGATGTCTTAAAAGAAAAATCTTATTTTGGTTTACAAGACCAAAATTTTATAATTAAATTATTAAAACTTAATGCTAATATTTTATTTATATTATTAATATTTATTTCGGGATTATCAGTTTTTTATAAAACGGGACCATTTATTGTTAATACTTTTAAGTTTAGAATTTATTGTTATTTCTTTATACTTAATTTTTGTATTTCATTTAAAAATAATAAATTATGAATTTTTTTTTTCTATAATTTTTTTAACTATGAGAGTTTGTGAGGGTGTACTAGGTTTATCTATTTTAGTATCAATTATTCGCATTCACGGAAATGATAATATTTTAACTTTTTCTTCTTTATGATAAAATTTTTATTAAGTTTAATATTTTTAGTTCCTTTTGTTTTTTATATAATTTTTGATTATTAGTAAGGGTTATATTATTTTATCTTTTTTATTATAATAAATTATAGTTTTAATTATATTTATTTAAATATTTCTTATATTTTAGGGAGGGATTTACTTAGATATACATTAATTTTATTGAGTTTTTGAATTTGTAGGATGATACTATTGGCAAGTGGAAAAATTTATAAATAATAATATTATTATTTATTTAATTTAATAGTTTATTTTTATTAATAGATTATTTTTAGTTTTTTTCTTCTTTAAATTTATTTGTTTTTTATTTGTTTTTTGAAATTAGATTAATTCCCACTTTAATTTTAATTTTAGGGTGAGGCTATCAACCAGAGCGAATTGAAGCTGGGATGTATTTATTATTTTATACGTTATTAGTTTCGTTACCAATAATAATTTCAATTTTTTTTTATTATAATAATTATAGATCTATAATATTAATATAATAAATTGTCAAATAAATTTATTAATTTATTTATGTATGAATATAGTTTTTTTTGTAAAATACCTATATTTTTTATTCATTTATGATTGCCAAAAGCTCATGTAGAAGCCCCTGTATCTGGATCAATAATTTTAGCTGGGATTATATTAAAATTAGGGGGGTATGGTCTAATTCGTTTAATATCTTTATTTATTGAGATTGGCTTAAAAATTAATTATATTTTTATTGTTATTTCTTTAATTGGGGGTTTTATTGTTTCATTGATTTGTTACGTCAAAGTGATATAAAATCTTTAATTGCTTATTCTTCAGTGGCCCATATAGGGCTAGTATTGTCAGGGATTATAACTATAAATATTTGGGGATTTTGAGGTTCATTGGCTATAATATTAGCTCATGGTTTGTGTTCATCAGGGTTATTTGCTTAGCTAATATTACTTATGAACGCACAATAAGGCGAAGTCTTTATTTAAATAAGGGCCTGATTAATATTATACCTAATTTATCTTTATGGTGATTTTTGTTATGTTCGTCTAATATGGCAGCTCCTCCTTCTTTAAATTTATTAGGGGAAATTGTATTAATTAATAGGTTGATTTCTTTTATTTCATTTAGAATAGTAATTAATATTTTTATCTTTTTTTAGGGCAGCATATTCATTATTTTTATTTTCTTATTCACAGCACGGGGTTCTTTATTCAGGTTTT